ACCATGGTAATTAAATAATTAGCAAATTCGTTAATTCCACAAGTTTGCAGGCTCTCCTCTACTTTGTCCTTCATTTTTATTTATCTTGTAGTCAGCATTCTCGACAGTTTCCACCTTAGCAGTGCTAGCTCCTGCCGTTCTTCAGCGAAAGTAAATGGGAGTAACTCCCTTCTCGTCAACGCTGCTCCAGACTTCGCCGGCTGAGAAATGGGCTTTGAATGTCCCTGGTTGCTGATAGGTGTGGCACAGGTAGCAGCAGTACGTACAAGCCTCCGTATGCTTCCAGTTTCATCTCCGCCCTTGCCAGGTGAAGCCCCCCGGGAAGCGGTAAGGGGGTGGTGCCCGTCCCCATTCAGCCTCTGGGCTGCTTGCTCCGGCTGCTGGTGATGTCCCAGTGGAACAGCTCTGGGCTTGGTGCCTGGATGCTGTTCTACCGGGAGCAGAACTGGCTACCGCCTGCATAACCCTGACAACCCAAAAATGACACAGGAGCTATGCGTATCCATCAGAATTTAATATAAACTGAAATATAAGAACTTGAAAGTCTCCTTTGATGATTAAAATCACTAAATACATTATAATCTTCTGCATGGTCTTTTTCAGTTTTCTTTAGAGTGTCACTGATGCTATGAAGGGTTTTTCTTAGATGATCAAACTGCTGACACTGAAGGCTCCAGCTTGTAAATTGCCTCTAGCCATAACTTAATCCTTGTTAGCTGAAATAAATTGTTATAGTTGGCTCAAATGAAGGATGTCAAGTTTCTCTGTAGATGAGATAACACTGGGAAACAGTGTTTTAACTGTATTTCATCCTCTGTCAGTACTCTCCCGTACATTCCTTGGCAGCTGTTGCCCTGCCTCTCGCCAGCAGCTGCGTGGCTGGCTGGTGTAGCTGTAGCTGTCCCCAGGGGATGACCAGGCAGCCTGGGCTGGGGATTCGATAGTTTGGAATGGATGGAAAGTAAAAGGTAAATATTTCAAACCTTTTGCGCTGGAAGAAACACAAATTAGGTTTTGTTTCCGAACCTTTCGGAAACTTGCCGCACTCCAACCTGACACTGTGAAGATCACTTTTTCCATTCTCGGTCCGCTAGAAAGTGTTTTTAAGGAAAGGAAGTGTGGTTACGTGTATTTGAATGGATTGGACTTTGATTTTTACAGCCATGCCCCCACTGTAAGTGCTTTGAGACTCTCCATCCCGTCTGTTTAACCTGGGGTGTGTTCTGTGGTGTGACCAGTGCAAAGCGGACGGTGCGAGTGACATGTGGCTTTAGCTCTGTTGGCAGTAAGAGCTTTTGGGTTTTCATAGCAGAACTAAACTCCAGTCTGCTGTGTTGTTTCTGAAAAACTCCACAGAATTACTACTGAGATGACCAAGGAATACTGTTTTATGACGATATATTTCACTGAATTCTGTGTATGTATCTCTTGTGGTAGGATTATAGGATTCCTAACGCCTGCTCAGTTCCAGATTTGCTCTGCTTCGCCAAGGAATTTGCCATAGACTCTCCAAAAAATGCTAACCAAGAGATCACTTTAAACCTTACAAAAAAGAGATGGCGTATCCGCAAAACAAAGCGTTTTCATAGAGTTTTGAATGGACCTAGTCTTTGCTTGTTTTTTTTAGAAAAAATTGGATGCTTCTCAGTTCAGATTCTGTTCTTACTAAAGGTGTCCTGCAGGAGGAAATGGCAGAAGCTCCGTAGCATCTCTCTGTGCTAAGTCTGATGCTCAGTTCGAAGCTATTCATTTTTTTCCCCACTTATGCGTCTCTTTCTTTGAAAAAAAAATAGCACCGATACACATGCATCTCTCTAAATTTGGAATTGCACTAACAGCAAAATGCAGCTGTGTATTACATCAGAGGCAATAACTGCAGCCTTTAGCTGGAGCTCTTTTATTCATTAGACATACCTGTGGTCTTTAAGAAAAAGGCTGTTGGAGGAGCAGTTCTTAACATTGCTTAATAGAACAATCTTTTTGCCACTAATAAAGAAACCTGCAGCATGAAGAGCTCTGTAGGGTCAGCCAAGAAGTGCTTTTCACATGTCAGCTGCTGCTTCGCGTACTGACCGGGTGGTGAGGGGCTCTGCTACCTGGCGGGGGAAGAACGCGCCTCTCCCTTGTGCAGCGAGCGTGCGAAGAGCTCCGAGGAGCCTTTAGCTGCATTGTGGCTCTGACAAAGGTGACGGTTTGACTTCCTCTGTTCCAAAACCTCCAACCTGTGCCACACAGATTCTGTGAAACGCAGTGCGTGGCGTAGCAAAACGTTGGGGTTGTTAGCAGTAGAATCAAAATTCTTACAAAAGCTCGTTTGCCTTGGATTCTGGACAGTTACACCTACATTCTTATTTTTCGTGCTTTTCAATAAATCCTTTTAAGACTGCTTCAGCTGTAAACACTTTGTCTCTGACCACAGTATTTTTCCTGTAATATAATACTCTTAGGAAAGCTTATTCACTGGCGTAATCCTTTCGTAGCTACCCAAAGAAATAAAATTTATAGAATTGAATTATTGCATTTAATCTCGGCTCTTATACCTGTGCGGATGGGTTTCGTGTCTGCCTGAATTCGCACAGAGAATCTTGAATCTTAGTTTGTGAATAATTAAAATAATGTTCTGCCTTCCCTGCCACGACCTGTTGATTGCAGGTGAAGCACGGGGAGCTCGGGAGTCCCGCCGCAGCCCGCTGCTGATTCTGCCCGTCCCCGAGTCGGGATCAGATCCAGAGGAGTCGCTGACCTGGTCTTTTCGGGCGTGTTTTCAGCTCAAACTCTTAGCGGTTATCAAAGAAATCATTCACAAGAGAATGTGAATGAGCAGGTCTTCACAGTAGGATCATCACTCTTTCTTTTGATTTCCTCTGAACACCGAAACAATAGCGATGCTTAAATCTTTGCTGGGCTTTGGAGTCAACACAAATTGAAAAAAAAATAAAAGAGAAAAAGAGGTTGCCTGGTACGCTGTGGTATGTCCAGGATCCCAGGATTAATTACAGTTGGCTAACATTTTGTAGGTTATCCTGGCACTCTTTAATGCTAGCGAAGCTTTCATTTAACTTCTTTAAACAAAACCGTGTATTTGAGAGCACAAGGTGTGGTTTCTTGTGATAAATTACCGATCCCTTGCAAGTCAGCTCCTTTTCACCTCGGAGCCTTCTTTCTATTCAGTTTTGCCATGAGCAGGTGATTTCATCTCTCGTCTGTTTACCCTTCTGTAAACTGCTTGCTCTACAAATTTAATATTCGAATGGCACTTTGAAATCTCGCTGCGTGGATGCAGGGTGCTCAGGTTGGTTGTCGAGATGCCGTCACGTGCAAAGGCAGCGGCTGCAGGAGGACTGTCCCTTAGGCAGATCTGACAGACGCCACGCCTCGCTGCCCCGTCGCAGGGGGCCTGTTGTAGTAGTAGCCATGAAACTCTATCATTGTATTGTACGTTTGTTGGACTTCTTAATTAGCTGTGTACGTGGGTCATGCCTGGAAAGCAGCCGAAAGCGTAGCGTGCTCTCCCCTTCCGGTGAAGTGAATAAACGAAGGCAGAAATGTTCTGTTGAAGTGGCTTGCTGGTGTGGCCAGATCGAGTAAAGAGGGCAGCTGGAGAGTCAGCTTGTTCCCACCCTGGCTGTGTTCCGCGCACGCTGCTGTGACGGCGTGCCAGCCAGTTCAGATCGTAGCATTTGTCGGAAGATCTCAGCTAAAATGCTGTTGGGAGGATGTATTTTCTGGTTGGGCTTTGCTTCACCTCGAGCCCGTTTGCCCCTAGGCACTGAGCAGCGGCTGGATGTCTAATCCAAACTGACAATTGTTAATGCTGGAAAACAAATGCCAAACCTTGTATAGTGGGGCTTTTTTTTTTTTTTTAATGCTTTAATGAGAACTACCCAGCCCCCGGCTCTCTGTGCCTTCGCTCTGGATCAATCTCAGTCTAAACGTGAGGGATCAGTTGAATGAGTGGCGGACAAAGCCCGGCAGACCCTGGTCACTGGGCAGGCTCCCTTGCTGGCTCTCATGTAAGCGCCCGGGCTATATCTCATACCTGCTCACGGCAGTGAGAAGAACCTATTGGCCCATATAATTGCCAGGTGAGTATAAATGTTTGGAGCTTTCTGCAGAATAATTGGATTTTTCTCTATATTTAACTGAATAAATAGTTTGTGAAAGTTAAAACACGATCCTCCAATATTCATCTCATTCCTGGAGCCTGTAAGTTTGAAGAGTCGGCCGTGCAGCACTGCAGTACCTGTGATAAGCTTAAACAGGATTTCTATTTTTTAAAAATTCTTGCAGCGCATTTTTATACATTATTTGTATCAAAGCATGAATATAAAATTAAAGTGTATTAATACTTTGTTGGAGGGAATGGGAAAGTTAGCCCAGCTTTCTGTGTGGTTGGTTTTGATAAGATGAAGTAATGCGATAAGCTGTTTGCACTGGTAATGTTTGCATTTTGATTGTAGATTCTGCAGCCAGCATCAGAAACCCGAACTGGTGATCTGTGCAGTCTGTACCGTCTAGAAACATTTATTTTTTTTAGTGTTTCTTCACTACCCATAATGGGATGGTGACTTTCAGCTTAAAATATTAGGCAATATTCGAAGGTCAAGGCTTACATTTATTCAACGGGGAATTATTCTGTATTAAACGCTTAGGTATTTTTCAGCTTATTTTTGTGCGAACTCTGGTTTCAGCCTCATTAAAAGAACACTTCACTGTGTTTGCTCTTGCAGTTCTTTAAGACTCCTAGCAAGTTGCTGTTGTTTGTATACAGTGTAGAGAAACTAACATTTGAACTTCAGCTTCTAATTGTAGGGGTTTGTTTTTCTCAGATACAGATGACTTAAAATGTGCCCCGTTTGGAAGCTATAACAGCGGGTCTGCGGTCAGCAGCCTGGCAAGCTATGACTGGTCCGACAAAGACGACAGTCAGCAGCAGGGCAAGAAGCTCTCCTCCTTTGTCCAGTCCTCAGGAAGTGGATCCTCTGCAGCTACTTCTGTCCTTCAGAAGAAGGAGACCTTGTTTGGCAGTTCAGAAAACATTACCATGACAACAGTTTCCAAAGTGACAACCTTTTCTAGCGAGGATGCTTTACAGGATGTTTCCTTTGCAGCCTTTGCAAACTTTAAAGACTCTGGACCGATATCCAGTGCTCCAAGTGACGATGACATTGGAGACTTTGGTGATTTTGCAAGAACTTCATCAGAAGCGCAGGATGCCGCAGCAGCCGCTGACACGAATCCGGAGGCAGACCTCCTTGCCAGTGGTATCTCCTCTGAACTGCGAAGAGAGTCCACAGATGACTTTGGAGAATTCCAAAGTGAAAAGCCAAAAATCAGCAAGTTTGACTTCTTGGTGGCAACTTCCCAAGGCAAGGTGAAATCTAGTGAAGAAATGATCAAGAGTGAGCTGGCTACCTTTGACCTGTCTGTTCAAGGTAAGCCTGCTCTGGGGGCAGGAACTTCGTAAGGGGTACGCTTATCAAAGGCTAATTTTTCTAATCAAATTACAAATTAGCCAATGGGGATTGTGCCAAATACTACTGGAAACAACCTGAGTCTTCTCATTGATTTCTGTTGCGTTTGGAGCAGGTCTTGTTCTAGGAGAAAAAAAACCTTTGGGCCAAAAAATTGTAAGAGTTGAGGAGCTGGGGAAATTTGCACCAGTCACCAAGTAAATAGAAGGCTTTGTTCTTCTGGAGTAGTGATGCATCCCTTGCTACCACTTTGTTCATTTTAAGTAGTCCATGCCTTTATGAGTAAAAGAATAACTTGTTTCTATCCTAACTTTTTAGGGTCTCATAAAAGGAGTTTAAGCCTAGGTGACAGAGAAATAAGTCGCTCTTCACCTTTACCAGTTTTGGAACAGCCATTTAGAGATCGTTCAAATACTCTAAGTGAGAAACCTGCTTTGCCCGTCATCAGAGACAAATACAAAGACTTAACCGGGGAAGTTGAGGTAAGGAATTACCTGGAATACAAGTAAATCAGCAATGGCTTTCATCAGCGTGATATTAAGGGTGTTCTGTATCCCAACTCTTTGGTACTTTAGCTATTTGAATTTAGGGTATGATTCTAAGATGGCATCTGGGTAAGGTTAGATATGATATGTGCAATACAGACTTTTTGCCCATTCATGTACATTCCTCCTTCTGAAACTAGTTGTAACTCCCAGAAATCAAATTTTAGAGTTCAGGTGCAAAGAGACTATTTAAAGAATAGGGGAAAAATGAGGAATATGTATGTTAAAAGTTATCATAGCTAATCTGCAAATAGTCTCTTAAAATACCTGTCTACTGTATGTCTACTGTGATAGGCAAAAGGGAAACGTGTGTAGGGACGAGATTCAGACTGTCCTTTTCTTTCAAACAGGAAAGTGAGAGGTATGCGTACGAATGGCAAAGGTGCTTGGAGAGTGCCCTGCAAGTAAGTGCACCGTCTCCCCCGAAACCTTCCCCTCCTTGCAGCAGCTCCCGCTCCGTTCGGCGTTTGAGGCCATACGGGCATAGAGAGGGTGGGAATCAGCCCCAGTGGCTTACAGTTTTTAAACCCCAAGCTGTCACACAGCAGAAGCGTTACCCCCTCGGCTGAAGATCCCATGCTAATCTCCCTGTCGCTTGTGATTCGTTTGGCTTATGCCTAAATTTTCAAGTGAACTGGGTAGGTTGGGGTTCCTGTGGCTGGGGTGCCCGGCAGGCGTGTTGTTCGGGGCATTGGCTCCTCAGCAGATTTTGAGAAACGGGCTTGTGCAACGTGCTGTGCGGAGAGGCCGTTCCTCTTCTGGTAAGGGGTGTCAGATGTTTCATGGCCAGATGCGTTTTCCTTGAAATTTCTTCTTTGCATTTGAGTATTAGACAGCCAGAGCTGTGAATGCTGTTATTAAACTAGATGGCAATGCATGCAGACTCTTAAAACTATTATTTGGGTAATGAAAATATTTGGGGGAATACATTAAGGTTTTAAATGTTCATACTTTTCGCCTGATCTACTTACAGTTACAGGGTGAATATATAAAAACATGATGGAGTCTGGCAATTATTTCTTATTTAATTTACCTTATTTTTTGTACAACAGTTTCTGTTGGGGGCAATCTTGTTCATAATAAATATTTTAAGGTAGATAACACCATCATTTTATGAAATTTATTTCCACCAGGTCATAAAGAAAGCAAATGATACCTTGAATGGAATAAGTAGTTCATCCGTTTGCACTGAAGTTATCCAGTCTGCTCAAGGCATGGAATATTTACTAGGTATGTTTGAATTCACCATGTCTCTTACATTGAAAGTTCTCTGAAGAACAGAAAGATATAATCACTGCTTCCAAAATGGTATTATTTTTTAGCTTAATCTTTGCCTGCATCAAAATAATGAACAACTCTTCTGCTAAATAAATGTAACTGCTGCTTTGAAATAACCGTCCGTGACCACCTTTCCTGCGCCGTGCCTATTTTGTGCTATTTCCAAGTCAACCTGTGCTTGCAGTGAATTCTCTGCCATCCTCCACTGCGTGTTTTGTATCAACAGGGGTTGTTGAAGTGTACAGAGTGACAAAGAGAGTTGAGCTGGGTATCAAAGCAACTGCTGTTTGTAGTGAGAAACTCCAGCAGCTGCTGAAGGATATTGATAAAGTGTGGAACAACCTCATCAGCTTCATGTCCCTCGCTGCTTTAACGGTAAGACCAAAAATAAGAGATGTCTTTACTAAAAGAAACGTCATAATGAGATGTAAAGTGACTTCATGGGGTGTCGTAACTTTACAGTCTGTATTTTTCTCTTGCAAAATGGAAATGCGCTTATTTATGCAATCCAGCTTAAAGCTTTCTGTGAGAAAACTGTTATTTATGTGCAGGCACGATATTATCTTTCTCAGTGTCTTAATGATTTAGATGGTATCCTCTGCGTCTGTGGACCTCAGCAATAAAGGAAATTTAGTAAAATTAAATAAGCCATTTTATGAAGCCAGAATAACGTAGACACGTCTTTGTTATATCCCTGCAATTAGTTTTCATGCTCACAACACAAGAGCACACAGTGTAGCAACGCAGGAATAACCGAACTGTTTTCCATTCCCTCTGCCTTTGGAAGTGCCTGGGTTTGTTTTGGTTCCTCCTACAGACTAAATAGCTTTTCCTCCTCTGAATAGAACTGCCAGAAAAAGCTCCGTTGCTCTGAGACAGCCTGGTGGGAGCTCGAGAGCTTTCTCCACAGCTGGGCGAGCGTTACAAGGAGGGGCGGTGAGGGGCTGTCTGAAGGAAGGAGCACCCCATGGGAAGGGTCTGCAAAGGGACTCGGAACCAGAGGGGCACATTAGGGCCAGCTCCAGTGTACACACAATTAGAAGGCAAAAAAATCACCTTGTCATTAAATACTTTGCACTTTTTTTTGTGGGTATGTTGCAGGAAATACGGTGTGCAAAATTACTTTAACCACGGCAAAACTCATATTTTTAGGGAATCGTCCATCTGTAGGTGCTTGATATCGGATCCCTTTAACTCAGTACACGCCTAAGGAGCCTTTAACTCTCAGTTAATATCAGTACATCACATCAAGCAGCAATAAGTAGATCATTACCATAGTTATGTTTTCACAGAATGTTTTAATTTGTGGCTTCCTTCTTGCAATACAACTATGGCCACGAAAGATTTTTGCTCCCCGATGAACACTTGTTTATAAATAAGGCCCAGAGTGCTTGGTTTCTGCTTGAAATGGCCACCTTCAGCTCGCTGTCATTCCCTGCAAAACGGGTATTGGAAACGGTCGGTTCCTTTTTACACACCTTTCACACGTTTTAAGCCTCCCCAGCGCAAGCGGCGGTGGCGAGCAGGTATTTTTGGTGACGTCCTGTGTTGCACAAAGCCTGTCGTAATATAAAATTTACACTTTCAGTATTTCACTGCTTGGCAGATGAAGTTGGTAGACTGGGATTCATCCGTTTGATCTCTGGCATTGCTGATAGTAACAATCTAAAAAGCTATCGGGATCCTCTCCTGATTTAAGCAAGTGGATTAACATTTAGTTCTTAAAGTGCTTTTCCCTGGAAGATTATAGGGATTACCTTCAAGTCCAAAGCTTGGCTACATGTTCTCCGAGCTGCAGCAGTCCAGATAAATTTTAAACACGCTAGGAGCTGTGAGTAATGACTTCTCATGCACGCAGAGTGCCTCTGAAGTTCGCTAAGAGCCAGGGATGCCCGTGGCTCTCCAGATCGTCCCTTCCTGTTCCTCTCCTCCACCTGGGTCACTGGGAGGGCTGGAACCCGCACCTTCCTCCCCGGCTGCTGCAGCCACCCATCCCAAATGATGCAGAAGTGCCAATTAGGTTGAAGTATTCTAGCTCAGAGGCATGTGCTTGCAAAGGTTAATTTTATCTTTTAAAGGATGTTTGTGTTGTTACAAGGTAATTTTATGCACAGCCTTGTGGTTTTTCACTGCGAATTACAGGATGACCTTCTCATTTGCTTCACTCATGCATCTGGTAAACAAATATTAGAGTGCCTTTATTAATTTGATTGATCTACTTAAAGTGTGTTTTTTTTCAGGATTCCAATTATTCTCTAGCCATTCTCTAGCAGGGGAGCGTGATCAGCATACCTAGAGTGTGGATGGAGAGCACACGTGTGCTGGCAGCACACCGGGCGCTTTAGGCTTCTTGCATTTCTAATCATTGTTTTTATTTACACGACTATCTTCAAGCAAAACTTCAACAGTTTTGTACCGTCCTTTTGCAAAGTTTTAAATTATCTTTTGTCTTGTGGCACAGAAAAGTGACTATATTCATTTATTACTTCTTCGCAGGCTTATTCTCCCAACCTTTGCCTGTCTTTAGCCTGAGCTTGCGTCCGGCTGGTGACCTGAATTCTTCTGTGGTGTGGTTAACCTTAATATCCCATTTTGTACTGCTGTGCCACATTCTAGCTTCAGAAAAACCTTCAGAAAGAATAACAACTGCCCTTTTTTGATCAGGCAATAATAGGGAATTCAGGACAATAAACACCGATAGAGACACCACTTCAAATACAAAGCAGTGAAAGCTGTGCTGGCCGATGCCGCCTTTCCTCGCAGCTGCACAAACAGTCGGCGCGTACCGCTGTTTGTCTTCGTCCAGGTCTCAATGCGCCGCAGCTGAAATGTCGCGGCCGCCGCCTGGGCTCTTTCCTGAGGAGTTTCTTCCCCTTTTGATGTGGGAATGTGGAACTTAAGAATTCCTTCCTTTGTAGTCTAGCCCTTTTTCACGAGCTTGAGTGTTATAAATTGATGCTGATGGAGATTGCATAGCAGGATTGCAAATGGCTGTGATTAAATCACGCATCAGTTTATGAGAAAATGGACTGTGTCTTCTCGGCCGTGTCGCCGGTGCGATGCCATGGCTCTCGGCAGCAACCAGATCGAGAATTTTACTCACGATGTCTGAAACTTTTTCAGTCACTGAAAATGCCTAAATTTTCTTGTCTCGTTTCTTTAGCCAGATGAAAACTCACTGGATTTCTCTTCTTGTATGCTGCGTCCAGGGATTAAAAATGCCCAAGATCTTGCCTGTGGTGTGTGCCTCCTAAATGTGGATTCAAGAAGTAAAGTAAGTATAATGGCCTCTCCTGTTACACTCATTTTTAATTTACAGTTTGGGCTTTCATTTGGGCCTTGGGTGTATTTAAAAAAATTTCACGGTTATAATTTGTAACTGGAATTGGCAAAGGCAAAATCTGACCTGTAGGTGGGACTCAAGTAGTCAGTGTCCTGCAGTCACTGGGCTGTGGGTGTGACACAGATGTGGACAAAGGGCTGAGTTAAACTGCTCATAATGGGGAAGAAACTGGGATACCAAGACTTAAAAAGTGTATGTATTTGTTAAAATCTAAAAATATTTTAATGACTTTTCTTTATGGAATGTATCTCTGAGGATCACCAGGAGGGGACTATGGCAGTTAGCAGAGCTGGGAGGGAATCCCAGGATATGTGCAGAGGAATGCCAACCAGTTAACGTATATCGGCAGTTTTGCTGACTTTTTGGTTTCAACGTTATTTCAGAAAGAAGAGAAACCTGTGGAAGAGCTTCCTAGAAAAGTATGAATCTGTAAAAACCACATTCTTTATAGAATCATTCTTAGTTGAGTGTGGAAGGCTGAGCTGCTAATTGGCTTTCAGCTGTCATTCTCAATTGTACCAATCATGAATCCTTTTCTTCTAGTCATTTTTTGTGGCCGTAACACTTGATCTGATCAACTAACATGCTCTAGAGCCTCCCCCCTGTCTCGTCTGCATGCTCGTATCTTGTGAATAGCTTTCTGGTTTTGTGCTACTTCTGTTGTGTGGTAGAAAATTCACTGCAGTGAGTTTCTGAATTGGTAGCTGCCTGTGTGTCTGTCGCAGAAGAGGGGGGACGGTGGGTTTTTTTTTTTGCTACAAATGTTGACTTTGGGCTATATGTAGTAGACAGTGGCATTTTTAGAAATCTCTGCAGGAGATCCAGGGTGTGGGGAACAGGGTTAGAAGAATTTTTTTAAAAGAGGTAGCTGTGAAGCTGTGGCAAGTATCTCCTAGCAACAAACACTGAGATGTTTTAAGCTTGCTCATGGCTTCACACGCTCTATTCAGAAGCTCCTATTGTAAAGCAGGTTCAATTAGCAGAAGAAAGTAGATCAAATTCAACTGGAAATAACAGTAATACGAAGAATTGCACCTGCCTAAATCACAGCAAAATTTGACCCAGCGAAATAAAGGCAGTAGCTCCCTCCTGGCTGGCAGGAGCAGCTTGTGTCTGGTGCGGAGGTGTAGCAGAAGATGCAGGAGGGAAGGTGAGTGAGTTGCCAGGCGCCAGATCAGGCAGCATGCTAACCAGGTGGCTGCCTTAACGCGGGGTGTCACAGGCAAAGTACGCATCAGGTGCGATGGCTGAAGTCTGTGCCCACCCGCCGTCGCTCTGCAGACTGAAATAAAGTACTGCTTGTTGGGTGGTCTGTCCCGGGTGAGAGGGTCCCACCGTGCGGTGCCGTTCCGGGGTAATACCTGTGCAGTGTCCGTGTGCCACTCCAGTTTCTCGATCCTGGAGTAGAGGGGACCATCACACTTGTTTCAATTCTTGTTATTTTAGGCCTTCAATTCGGAAACGGATAACTTCAAGCTGGCGTACGGAGGGCACCAATACCATGCAAGCTGCGCAAATTTCTGGATCAACTGTGTGGAGCCCAAGCCTCCGGGTCTCATTTTGCCAGACCTGCTCTGAAAGCAGCGGCGCTGCAGATGGAGCACCGGGTCTAATAACGCAGGACACTTGGGGTAAATTGTGTGATAGGGTAGGGGGGGAGGCTTGAGGTGTGGTTAGTGTTTGAAACGGTTCGGTCTGATTTTTGTATCGTAACGGGTTAAAGCCACTGTCACCGACAAACTGCTCATGAAGAATTTTACTTGCAATGGCTGGGGTTTCAGAAATAACCAGAAAAAAGTGTAGTGTGGCAAAAAATGTGGCATTTCAGTCTTTCTGAAGAGAAAAGC